TGTCGTCGATGGGGGGGCCGTAGGGTGGGACCCTACGAAGGCCGTGTACGTGCCGGATGCGACCGGCCAGAAGGAGTTGTCGGCTGCCTCTGCTCCGTGGCCGGCCCGGAGCGGGCCGGGGCCGCGGGCTCCGCCGCCGGTGCGGCCGCGTCGGGACGGGGTGCCCGCTGCGCGCCGCCCCGACGTCGACTGCTTCCGCTGCGGCCGTCGGGACCACTATGCCAGGGACTGCTGGGCCCGGGTTCCGGGGCCGCCCCAGCAGGAGGCCTCGACAGCGGACGCCCCAAAGAAAGACCCTCCGGCACAGGCAAGTCGGTGCGCACCAGACACCCGGCAAGGCCCGACACCTCACTCATCGCCGTTGGTATGCGACGCGGATGTTGTAAAATACGGGAGGCCAGTATCTGCGCCTTGTCGTTCGATAACGCAGTGGCGTAAGCTGGCTCGGCGGGTTGTCGCGGCCGCTACCGGGTCGTCCACTGTACCGGGGTCGATTCAAGGGGTGGACGTACGTATTTTGGTGGATTCCGGGGCGTCCGCGACCATTATTTCGGATGTGATATTCCATCTTTTGAACATCCCACCGGGGGCCGTGAGGCCGGCTTACGCTTCCTGCATCGCTGCGAACGGGGGTAGTATGGGCATTGTGGGACAGGTGGACGCTAACATTTCTTTCGGGGGTGTCTCGGCCTCGGGCGTTGTGTTAATTTCAAGGTCCCTGGCGGTTCCTTGCCTGTTGGGTACGGATTTTTTGGCTAGGATGCCCATTCTAATTAGAATCAATGAAAATTGCATTGAACTACCAGGGGGCCGGAAATTGGCGTTCTTACAGTCCGCCTGGGGGCGGCCGGCTCCGGTTGCCCAGGTGCAGGCGTTATCGGAAGTTTCGGTTGATATTCCACCTGGCTCGCAGATGCTCATTCCCTTACGATATCGGAAGCCGGTTCCGGGTCGGCAGGGTGCTTGTGGGATTTTGCTGTCGCCGTCCGCCGCTGTTACGGGCGGATTGGCACTGGTGGGGGCGCAAACCATTGTCCGTCCGGATCAGCGCCCGTTTTTGCAGGTGTTAAATGCGAGTACTGAAAGCGTGTGTGTGCCGGCTGGTACCGTTGTGGCACACGCCACTACGGCGTTTACGGCTCAGAGTGACATTCCGGACGGGGGGCTGGTGGGTGGTGTTTCACACGATGGAGGGGTGGACGATCGTTGGATCGCCGAACTATGTGCGGAAAATTCGGCCCTTTCCACCGAGCAGCGTTGTGCGATTCATAAATTATTATCGAGCTATTCCGATGTGTTTAGCTCGGACGATTTGGACTTGGGACGCACCTCACTGCTCTCTCATCATATCGACACGGGGGACGCTGCCCCTATCCGCTTGAACTCGCATCGGATGAGTCCGGCTGAGCGTGAGCATGTTCGAGGGGCGGTGGAAGACATGTTGAAAGCGGATATTATATCTCCGTCTAATAGCCCGTGGGGCGCGCCTGTTGTGTTGGTTAAAAAAAAGGATGGTAAGTTGCGATTTTGTGTGGATTTTCGGAAGTTGAATAAAGTGTCGGTGGCAGATGCGTATCCCCTGCCGCGTATGGACGATTCTCTCGACGCCTTGTCAGGGGCTAAGTTTTTTTCAACGCTAGATCTCTCTTCGGGCTTCTGGCAGCTCCCCCTTGACGAGCCCTCGCGGGAAAAGACAGCTTTCCGTACGCCGCAGGGGTTATTCCAATTTAACTGTCTGCCGATGGGGTTGAATGCAGCCCCTGCCACTTTTCAGCGATTGATGGAGTTGGTATTGACGGGGTTGCAGTGGGAGACATGTCTCATTTATTTAGATGATATTATTGTCTTCAGCCGCACATTTGATGAGCATTTACTGCGGTTGGAGGCTGTGTTTGCCAGAATGCGTTCTGCTAATTTGAAATTCAAGCCTAAGAAATGTCATCTACTGCAACGCTCCATTCGATACTTGGGACATATTGTTAGTGCGGACGGGGTGGCCACGGATCCAGAGAAAACTGCGTGTGTCAGGGATTGGGCGACCCCGGCCACGGTGGGTGATGTGCGTCGGTTTTTGGGGTTCGCCTCATATTATCGGAGGTTTGTTCCGAATTTCGCTACTATCGCCAGGCCTTTGCATCTCCTTACTGGGAAGGGGCATAAATTTGTGTGGGGACCGCCGGAGGAGGCGGCGTTTCGGAGCCTGCGCGATTTATTGGCTACTGCGCCGACGTTGGATTATCCGGATTTTGAACATCCCTTCATTCTGGATACTGATGCGAGTGACACTGGTATTGGGGCGGTGTTGTCCCAGTCAAAAGGTGGTGTTGAGCGTGTGGTGGCGTATGGGAGTCGGGTTTTGTCTCCCGCGGAAACCCGTTACTGCGTCACTCGCAGGGAACTTTTGGCTATTGTGTTTTTTCTCCGCCAATTTCGACCGTATCTGTACGGTCGGTCGTTTATTGTCCGAACGGACCATACGGCCTTGCAGTACGCTCTTAAGATGGACCAGCCATCCGGACAATTGGCGAGATGGCTGGACACGTTGCAAGAATTCTCCTTCCAAATTCACCATCGGAAGGGTGTGCGTCACGCTAACGCGGACGCACTGTCCAGGTTGCCGCAACAATCCCCTTGTGCGTGTGCGTCGGGGACGCATAGGTGTGGACCGACTCAGCCCCCCCCTCAGCCTGTCGCGCTGGCAGTGGATGTTCTCGAAACTCCGCTTACACCGGGACCGGTTGATGGGGGACCGGCTGACGGGATTTTGCGTCTTCCACGGTCTGTGTGGATTCGGGAGCAAATGTTGGACGATTCTTTGGTGTCGTTACGAAAACGTACGGAGAAGGCGGGTAAGGAAGTCGGTGCGGGTGGTATTTCGGAAACCGCTCTCCGAGATGGGTTACTGATGTGGAGGGAAGGGATACAGGAACACTGGCGTCTCGTTGTGCCTGCGTCATTGCGCTATGAATTGATTAGATCTTTGCACTGTGACACACTTTTACACCTGGGGGTGCAGAAAACCCTATTGACGCTGCAACGAGACTATTATTGGCACGGCATGACGACGGATGTCGTCGGTCACGTTCGCGCGTGTCCCGATTGTGCCCGCCGTAAACCGCCTAAACATCCATATGTTCCGCCGATACAATCGATTCAAGTATCTCGGGTTAATGAGCTGGTGGCGTTAGATATTTTGGGACCCTTTCCGCCATCCGCTAAGGGAAATAAGTATTTACTGGTGGGGGTGGAGTACCTCTCTCGCTGGCCGATGGCCTGGCCCTTGCCTGACCAGTCAGCGGCGTCTATTACGGACGCCTTTCTATTTGGGTATGTAATGGACAAAGGGGTTCCGGAGAGGCTCCTTACGGATCAGGGACGTAACTTTTCGTCAAAATTGTTGGGGGAGGTGTGTGCGGCTCTTGGAACTAAAAAGATACGGACGTCCCCCTACCACCCACAAACGGATGGTATGGTGGAACGGTTGAATCGGACTCTGTCCGCCATGCTGTGCCATACAGTCGGGGAAAATCAATCTGACTGGGATTTGCATATCCCTGGGGTGCTTTCGGCGTATCGCATGACGCCGCACGCGGCTACTGGATACTCGCCGTTCTTCCTTATGTACGGCCGTGAGAATGTGCCGCCGATTAATGAGCAGTTGGGAACCGGTGCGAGGGGACCTGTTAAGCCTCTTCCTGAGTATATTCAGGACAACGTTCGCCGTGTCACTGAGGCGAGGGAAAGAGCCCGCATGGCTACAGCCAAAGCTCAGGCCAGGAATGAGCGGTGTGCCCGACGTTCGAAGGGGGAGTGCCCCTGGAAAAAGGGGGACCTGGCCTAACTTCATTGCCCACAGGTGCGGCCAGGTACCTCTCCTAAATTACATAAACCGTGGCAAGGTCCGGTCCGCCTCATTGAGGTTCCCAACCCACAGTCGGCGCGTGTTCAGGTTGGTTCGCGGCGCTGGTTCGTGCATACATCCCGGTTGAAGCCATACATTGCCCCGCGGCCGGATGCGTCATCTCCCGAAGTTGCCTTGCCGGGGTCTGTTGCTGCCGACTCGCCCTTGCCTGTGTCTGCTGACCTTGCGAGAGCGCCTGTCGTACCCTTCACAGACAAGCCGGCCGTGACAGCGCAGGGAGGGGGACCTTCCGCTTGTGGGACGCCGACCGGAGCCGCAGAACCCACGGGACCTGCAGCTCTTCCTATCCCTCCGCGGACGCGAGTGCGGGATGTCTCTGGACGCGAGCGGGACAGTGGCGGGCCTCCAATGGCGACGGAAGAACTTGCGCCCGTCGCCCCTAAAACCCTTCCACGTTCCCGCTCGGCGGGTGGGCTGCCGACCGTCCGGGACGGCCCGGCTACCCGTACTCGCTCGAAATCCCTCACGTTTCGTTAAATTGTGTTGTGTTGTGTTCATTGTTATATTGTTCTTCGATGCTTCGTGTCTTTTTACGTGTTGGCCCTTTGCACCCGCATTGCTTTTCAGGTTGCAATTCAGCCGAGGTCGGCTGGATTTTCTTTATGGGGGAGGGTGATGTAATGCGGTTGTAAATGGCCCTCCGGAGGTGCCGTCATGGGGGGAGGAGTTAGGTCACGTGGGGGGAGAGGGGTTGAGTATAGAAGGAGGGGAACCGGAAGAGGAAAGGGAGTGACGGGGAACCAGGAACAGAGGAAGGCCACGTAGGGCGAAGCGGGGTGTGGAGAGATCGCCACGAACACGGGGAGGAACGAGGATCGGCACCGTTGGCCAGCGGTGACCGACCCGAGGCAGCAAGGAGGGCTGCAATCGGCAGCGGGGCTGCAGAGAGAGAGTGGGCAGCGGGTCTGCATACAGTGGCAGCCAGAGGGTCTGCACATAGGGGTAGCAGCGGGAGTCTGCATAGGGGTAGCAGCGAGTCTGCAGGGAGGAGGTTACAGTAGATGAAGCAGAGAGTCAGAGGGGAGAGGAAGCTATAATAGCAGTGAATAGCCGGGGGCTACAAATACAGAGTTATAACAGAGTGCCGTGTGGGTGAAGACGAGAACCCAATAAAAGACACGAAGACAGAAAGAAGTGTCCGAGTCCTTTTATTACAAATATATGAATAAGTGTCGACTTATAAGTCATGTGTTACTGTGTAAATATGCATTCCTCTGTGCATCGATACTAACGTGGATATAACTTTTTTTCTGTCTGCAGCTGTCGCTTCCTCTGTCGAATTTGTCTGATGGAGCAAAGGCACTCGGCGAAGCTCGGTACGACAAGGAAACAATGCGACCGGTGTGCATACAGCACGGATTATACTGGAAATTTGACACGGCACCAGAGAACTCACACAGGAGAGAATCCCTTCAAGTGCAGTGTGTGTGGGAAGGCGTTTTCAGATTCATCTACTCTTGTAAAACACCAGAAAACACACACGGGAGAGAAACCCTTCAAGTGCAGTGTGTGTGGGAAGGCGTTTTCAGATTCATCTACTCTTGTAGCACACCAGAGAACACACACGGGAGAGAAACCCTTCAAGTGCAGTGTGTGTGTGAAGGCGTTTGCACAGTCATCTGCTCTTCAAAGACACCAGAGAACACACAAGCATCAGAAGATCCACAAGGAGTGGAGTCTGAAATCAGTTTGTGAAAGTCAAAGTGCTGCAATGATCCCATCCCTCATCAAACAAAAACCGGAAGAAAATCCCAGCTTGGACACTTTTAAAGGTATCGAGGTGAAATATGAAGAGGTGAAGGTGAAATGTGAAGAAGAGATGGTGAAGAGCGAAGAAGTGAAGGTGAAATGTGAAGAAGTGATGGTGAAGAGCGAAGAAGTGAAGGTAAAATGTGAAGATTCAATTCCAAAATCAGACCTTCACATCGATGGAGTCAACATGAAGCAGGAGGAGAATTCTGACTGTGAGGCAGAGCACGGCAACTCCCAGCAGATTGTGGAAGTGGAGGTGTGGGTGGACTTCCTCTGAGACAGTACAAAGTCAAATGGAGACCCGGTAGATGTATAAGCTTGAGACGATGTCGCTCTAAGTTATGCACTTTTGTCACAGGCCTTTAATGACAATAATGTGAAGTTGAACACTCAATTCCTAGGTTGAACCTGCAGAGTAAGAGCGGCCAGTCTTTGTGGACCTGTGGGTTTGGTAGATCTCTAACCAGGAGTGGGAGCCAATAAGCTCCCAAGCATTCGCTATGTTATTAATTGCATTTATATGGTGCTTGCTTAATTGCCTCGGCATTTCGGATTTTTGTATCGTATCTCGGCTCAAACACTCGAAGAGCATATCCAAGTAGCAGCTGCCCCTGTGTGGCACAAGGTGGTGGCCCTGAACCGGCCTGCATGTGGACAAGAGCCTGTCAGTAGAGGGCGATGGTTGATGTGGCATCTCAGTTGTGGAGTTTGTAATGTTTGGAATTTGCTCAATTTTGACCCAGACACCAGCATGCAAAGGCCTACTCGTTTCGAAAGTATGTTGTACATACACTGTTAAGCAGACGGTGAATATTTTTTGAAATAGCTTGTTAAAACAATGTAACCTGGTGCAGCATATTTCAGTGCAGTAATTCAATTTTGTTAAAATTACTCAATAATTTTGAATAAATACCTGTCTTATTGTGTGCGTACATGTAACAATTTGTTTATGTTCTGCCTCATGGCAGGGGCTTTGCCTCACAGGAATTTTCTGTTTTTGATGCTAATTTTGGTCATGTGACCAGGAAGTTGCGATTTAAGATTCCCACTCAACCACGCGGGCGTCGGCCATTACACACATAATTCAAGATGGCGGCACACATTGCTTCCCAGTGAAGCCAGCCGCAATTATCCATTGTGGGAGCTTTAGAAGCATTGTCTGTAAGTTCGTTTATGTTCTTATAATATTGGCAATGCTGTTATAATGTTAGAATGGCCATTATAATGATGCAAATGCCTTTATAATGCTGTTAAATTGTTATGGTAAATACGAGGCCTAGTTAACAATGGAGCCTGCAACTTTCCTTATTGTGAATGTTACTTGTAATTAAATAAGTCGAGTCAAACTTGTACCCAAGTAACTACATTGTGATCCTGAGAGCAAGGATGACGAAATATCTCATCCACAATTTTGTGTTATGTGTAATACTGTACATTTGGGGTGCAGTGTGATGAATACACGATGTGCCTTTATGTAACAGCAGCTTATGCTCTTGTATAGTTATTCAGTGGTAATGTAGGGGCCTGGTCCATCCAGGGTCTATTGTTGAGAAACATGTTATCTAAGACAATGTTCTGATGCTGTGGTGTTCATTCATTGTGTTGGTGTTTCCGGGTTATAACAGATGCTGTATCTGTGCTGTTTTCTCACCAGTTTTACCTCGTTAAAATCAATAATTGACGTTTGGAGTCGGATGTTCACCCTGGCTCTGAGGGTTTATTGGACGCGAGGTTATCTACTCAGCTAGCGGTGCAACGCAGCGCACAGCGAGGCTGAGACAGTTTATAAGGGTCAAACATTGCATAAATAATGTTAGGACAAAGTGTGTTATTGGATTAACGTGTACAGATAACTCGGGTGAGACCCGTTGTTCTTGTGATACAGGTCAAAGGATATTTTTGTGTTTTCAGGAAGCGTCTGCCATTGGAGTAACTCATTGTCTTTGAAATAGGGAGCACACTCGGATCATTCATCAGTTACAAGGCATACCACTTAAAACTTACACGTAGAGGAGATACATTTCGATTTAAAGCTTTCGTGACTGCAGGGATTCATCTTCTTGGTTCTTTCGGTAAAGTCACGTAGAATGGAAATAATAAAATAAAACATAAAATAATTCTCACGACGTTTTAGCCACAACGCAAGCAGCCGTCCTCAGGTGAAGACCAATGTACAAATAATATATAGTATCATAATTGTATAGTGAATATACATCAGTGTGATATACATTAGGGTGGGTAGAATAATACATAGTGTAATATTACAATGTGTATAGCAATAAAGTATATCATTTAATGTTGGGTTTGTCTATTGCAGTATATAGTACGGTGTAGACTCGTGTGATGTAAGAGAATAAAGTTTAGATGGAAGAATACATTTTTTTGCGACGTAGAATTGTAATGTATTATTTATTGTTAGTAACTCAGCTTATTGTAGAGTATATTTAGTATACTGATGATACTATGTAGTTTATACTTTAGTTGTTTACGTGGTGGTTTTAGTTATTGCAGCTACATACTATTAACACTCCTTCCCTTTATGAATGCTACCCCTATCCCCTCCCTTTGATGCTGCTAATCCTGCATAATAAACGGGCATAAGTAGTACTAATCACATGCCTGCATTTCCCATATTCCCTCCCTTTGATGCTGCTAATCCTGCATAATGCACGGGCATAAGTTGTACTAATCACATACCTGCATTTCTCATAAATATGCTAAATTCCTCTTGATATGCAAATTATTTTGTCAAGGCACCCTTCCCCCCCCCCTTCCAAACCAGCTTAAATATACGCTCCAAGCATGGTGCTGTTTCATTCAGACGCTGTCTCCCCGACAGACCTGGTCTTCACCTGAGGACGGCTGCTTGTGGCCAAAACGTGAGAATTATTTTATTATGTTTTATTTTATTATTTCTATTCTACGTGACTTTACCGAAAGAACCAAGAAGAGGAGATACATTCTCTACAACACGAATTATAATTTTGTCTTACGTGTTGACGTAGATTTTGTCTAACTAGGACTAGAATTGCCCCTTGCTGATTAACTTCTGGATGTTAACAACCATCGGTTGAAACAAGCCCGGCTGCTCTTGAGACACTGTGCACCAATAAGGGTCCACAGGTGGCTTGCACTGAATCAATGACGCACTCCCAGAAGGCTGTGCGAGTTATAGTTTGTGTAAAACATTCCTTTGTTTTGTGGAGAGATCGATAAATGAAAGATGTGTCTGCTGATCTGCTTCATAGCAAGGAGGTAATTTAAAAGCACATTTGAAATGCATTTTTGGTACAGATTTGTATTCGGTTACAAGGCAGAGCACATCTCGTAGATACATTCTCCACAACAACACTCAGAATTTTGCATGACGTCTTATATGTTGGCGAACTAGGACAAGAAATGGTCCTTGCCGATTAACGTCTGGATGTTCACTACCATGGGTTGAAGCAAGCCTGACCGCCTGCAGCCCCCTCAATCATTTATGGCCTTGGGCCAGGAAAGTCACGAAAAAATTGCCCACGAACGACGCAAACTCCTGATGCTCTGTTTTGAAGTTTTAAAATGAAACAACTTTGAATTGTATTCTTTTTGAATTAGATAATTTTATTTATTCATTAAAAGCTTATATAATTTTACATCTGGAAGACTTCATTGAAAACGACATTTAGTCGTTAAGTAGATGGCCTTGCCGGGGGTTCGGTTCGATGCTGACTTTCACCTGGTTGGGATCGTGGGGTGGAGATAAGGCGACATAGAGCTGGCCGTGCCAGAAGACCGCCGTCTGCAGATCGATTCCAACGCGATCGAACGTCTGTCCCTGCGCCTCCGTAGTTCATGCAGGGGGCGCGTAGGTTTGCAGCGCCCCCTGCATGAAAACGACGGAAAGTGCAGCATTCATCACAGATAGATGAAGTTGTGCGCTTTTATAAAAGTATCGCCAGTGGGTTTTCAAAGTACCTTCGTCTTACAGAAATCAATTTCGTGTGAGCCCACCGCATTAAAACAATGCTCAGCTGAGCGAGGCGAGCCACGTGACTTCTGCCACGACAATGTCCGGATGTTTTCGCCTGAGGACGACTGTGTTGCGATCGAAAAGTCGTGATTTCTTTTTTTACTTTCTTTTTTCTACCTACGTGACTTTACCACGGCTTTACCGAAAGAACCAAAGAGTATGAAAGACGTCTTGTCTGCTGATCTTGTTCATATCTGTGTATATCGATATCCCACATTGCTTGCACGTACACACCACACACAATGAAATAAATAGAAACTAGAACGACTCCCGGGGATGGGCAAAGATCGAGGAATCTCTTTCAATGGAGCGAGTTCAGTGTGTTCGATTCAACATCTCTCTGTTCGCCTCTGTGTGTCTCTCTGCCTGTGTCTCTCTGTCTCTGTGTATCTTTCTCCGTCTCTGTTCCTCTTGTCTGTGTCTGTCCACCTGTCTTGTCTGTGTGTGTCTGTCTATCAGCGTCTATCCAACCGTTGTCAACGACTGTCAGTAGCAGCACGCGCCCGTTCAACTCCCACGGTTACACGCCACTCAAACTTGCTCCCAACACAAAGATAAAGATCGCCCATATAGCCTGGACAGAATGTTGGGGCAGGTGCTGTTAGCGAGCACCTAACACAAAGACAAATATCCCGCGTATAGCCTTAACAGACTGTAGGGGCAAGTGCTGTTAGCGAGCACCTATTACGGGTGGGATGGTACACGAGGGGGTGGGTGGCCAGCCTCACACCCGGCCGCCTTTGTCTCCCTAGTGGCGATGTTCACTACACACCGCACCGGGTACTCGTTTGAGGCCGAGTCAAGTTCAAGTTAATTTATTAGGTATAGCCCTGTGAGCCATTCGACTCTTGAATCGGGTGCAACCGCAACAAACAAAAAATATGAACAAGAAAACATCTTAAAGTGAATATGTGACTAAATACAAACAGAAAATCCAAGAAAAGACAGCAAAATATTGCAGAAAAAACACCGTACACCAACGCTGTGTGCAAAAACCCCAGTGGGATGCAAGTCAACAACAACCACAAGACAACTTAGATTAAGGCCATCAGTCTTACTTCGTACTACAACAAACAAACATGGCCAAACCAATAAACTTTTCGAAATCACCAAAATAAAGCAATGAAACAGTGATCATAGGAACTGTGATGGAATTTTCACAATAAACGACATAAACAACATGTACTACCAAAACCCTGCAGCCATAGCTGGCTGCATGAGTCACTCCACAACAGCAGGAGCATCAGTCGGAGTTTCATAATTTTTCAATGCACCTTTAAGATCAGCACACTAAATCAAAACACAGGTCATACTTTGTAGCGATCATTCGGAGCGAAACATTTTATTTTAGGCCTCTGAATTGCACTGGCAGCTAGGGGTGTACAACTCCTCTAGAGAAGTTTTGAGTGAAGATCTCATAGGTAGTGACTCAAGTTGCAGTTTATTGGCAACAGCATTCCAGACCCTGTGGGCATCAATAGCAAAGGCCCTTCCTCCAGTATATGTACTGCAATAGGGAATATGAAGCTGGTAAATGAGCATAGACCTTAGGTCAAATTTGTTCTATGAAACAGAGGAGATCCAGCAGGTAATCTGCGGATTTTTTGTAAGTAAATCATGAATAAATATGATCTGGTGCACAAGCCGTCGAACATTAATATATGTTAAGTTTGACCCAATGTAGAGATCACAGTGGTGAGTCCAATATGGGCAGTTCAATGCAAATCTTAAGGCCGAGTGATACATTGAGTGAAGCTTCTTCAGTACAGTACTTGGGGCTGATTTATACACGATGTCACAGTAATCAAGTAGAGGCAGTATGGTAGCTTTTATCAATTCCAAACGGAACATAGGAGGGAAGCAGTGCTTGTGTCGATATAGAAAACCAATTTTAATTGTCTTTTTCCCAATATAATCAATGTGATCTTCAAAATTCA